TTTCCCTTCAAAAATATATTTACATGTAAACTACTTTAAAATGGAAGCAGCTGATAGGTGGTCTTATCTTCTTGTTGGTGCTTTGGATTTATTTTCTTAAGTGGTTTCCTCACCAGATTAGTAGAGGTGAAGTTAAACATTTCCATACAGTCATTTTACTCCTTTTTAATAATGACTTAATTATTTTATATTGCTTAACCAGCACAACATAACTATTGTTCACATGCCTGGAAAGAGACCCTTTGGTCAGAGCCTTGTGTACATCTATGTCAATGGTCAGCAGAAGGTCTCTGCCCCACTTCGATTCCCTGCCATGAATGAAGTAAGTTCACCTTCTGAGTCATACCCCTGTCCTGATGAGCTCTCCTAGAACAGTGAGAACATAGTTGGCTTTTTTAATTTGGAAATTGCATAAGAGTTTAAGATAACTTAGTGTATTGCTAATAAGCTTCTAGTCAACTTTGAGTTGAGAGAAGTGTCCAGAGTATCAATTTGGAGTATAACTAACCATTAATTAGTGCTTTTTTGGTCATCTCAATTTTTAAAAACAAAAAACCCCAAACCAGATTACCTTGATTAGATTGTGGGGTTTTCCCCAACATAATTACCTGGACATACTGACATAATTTATGATGAGTAAATCATAATAAATCACACTTCTGCCAGTAGGATTGGTGTGACAGTACTCAATGAGAAATATTCCCTGTTGTTTTCAGCAGTAACTTTTTTTGCTTGTATTTTCTGTATGTTCCCTTAATATGCTAATCTTATACCTGCTTTGTTAGCTGGGTGAGCAGTTTACAGACAGTTAATCAAACTATTTTGAACATGTGCACATTTAGCTTAAAAAACCCACACTAGCCATCAAAATGAGTATATGTCACGTATCATTTTCTTTGTAAGCGTTGTCCGTTCTTTTTATGGAACAAATCTGATTTAAACTGGGCTATAACATTGAATATTATTCCCTCTTTTGAAAATCTTGATTTAATGTTTAAGTATGTTGAGCAGATACTTAAATTGGACACAGTCATAGTAAAATCAGTATAACACTTGAAAAATTAGAGTAACTGTAATTTCCATTGCGAGTTAAAACTGGATTAAAACTCTGAACAAGCACCATAAACATCAAGGTAGCTAAAAGCAGGGCAGGTAAGCTTCCCATGAGAGCATCTGTATTTGAGTGGAATAACTGATACGAGAAATGCTGGGCTAGTATTTTGGAATATAATCCAGAAGAGGAATGTTTACTAGGGTATCTGGAATACCATCCTTCTGGCTTTGCTCCTGACAGAGGTCACACAACAGCTGAGGTGACCAAATTGCTCTTAATTGGAGAAAGGGTACTCTATACTGTTGTGGAAAGTATATGCCCCCGCCACCCCCCTCTCCTCCCCCGCCCCCCTTGTTGGGGGGGACGGGGGGGAGAGACTATAGCGCTGGATTGTTTCTTTTGCAGGGCATGCCAGAACTTTTTGCTGGTGGTTTAATTTATTTAGCTCATGTTTGCCAGAGATAGTCTTCAGATTTACTTTGTAAACTGTGAAAGAAGGAGGTTAGATTTACAGTATGTGTGTTGTTTCCTTTCTTCCATGCGCGACTCTCCAGTCTTTTACTTCTTGCTGCATCGGTTCAGCTGGTCAAAGAACAACAACTCCTCCTCCATCTCAGATACCAGATCCGCCTTTTTCCTCCCCTATTTTGCCCCATCGGACATCACTTGGAGGCATTCTCTCTACAGGAAGTTGGGGTGGGATGCTTGGAAAACCAGAGCTCATCACCAAGATGATCTCAGCAGGGACTCAGGACAGTGAATGGGGATGTCCGACATCTTTGGAGGGCCAACTTGGATCAGTTATCATCTTTCATGAAGCACTGCAACCTCCTCAGGTGAAAGCATTATATTTAGCAGGTAAGTGGTGATTGTACTGGTTTTAGTGGAATAAAAGGGGTGAGTTATGGACAAGACCCCACTGAGCTTTGCTCTACACAGACACATAATGAAGTTACAATCCAGAAGAATTGCAGAGCTGACCTAAGTGAGAGGGCCTTACAACAAATAAGCTTAAAATGGAATGATAAGTATTTTATGAAGTTTTATTTAAAATGCTATGTTTGCATAAACTCATCTATTTATCATAGGTACAGACCTGCCAAAATCACAATGTTAGATGGTATTTTCCTTTATACGTTCTTAGTTTTTGCTACTGTTTGCCTATATGTGAGTTGAGACTCTTTAAAGTATTGCCCTTGTTTTGACAGGCCACTTAAAGCTGATTTATGCTTGAGGATTTTTCCCCAAGAATCAGTTAATAATTATTGGGTCATTTAAAAAAAATATTCTGGTAAGCTATGTCTTACAGTTTAAGGTGTTAAAGTATTAAATTCCATAATGACTTGAGGTTGTTACAGGTTAATGTAAAAGCACTTCCATCGTTTGAAGGAAATATTTTGTATTACTAAACAAAACTGCCTTGAAGATTACTCACTTTCTGGACTTTTGGGCTTAATGATGGAGAGATTGGTGACAAATATGAGATAGGTATTTGTAAAGACAGAAACATTAGAGCTGTTTGAATGTATAAAATGTATAATTTAGCTTTTTATCAAGAAAGTATTTCTTTTTAAGTAGACTCTATGGAATGATTGATTTAAGTCATAGAGATTACTTCAAAGCATGCCTCAAGTAGGTACGGTTTGGAGTGTCTTATTTTTTGTTGCAATGAAGTATAGTAGTATAAAATTTGTGAAGGTCAACATTAGTATCCAGTGAACTCTTAAATATATATTGTTATAAGTATGTAATTTTTTGTATCATTTTTTTTAATAGGTCCAAACTGTTTAACTCCATGGAAGTCTCAAGAGGCTGAAGTAGCAGATCTCCCCAGTAAGGTGCTGCTTCATTACACACCAAAGGTATGAAACAACAAGTAATTTCTCTTTTTGATTACACAGTGTGCAGTGATTTAAGAGTATGTTCTAGACGGTCTTTGTTTTGTTTTGCCGTTGCTGTTTCATAGAACAGGTGAACGTGCCATCTTTATACTGTGGTTATTTTGGGAAAATAAGGAGTGGTGGGAGCTTTCTTAAACTGTTGTCTTGCAGAGATAGTAGGTTTTGTTCCTGTTTGGCAAAAGGACAGAATTATCTTGTACAATTGTGAATGTCAGATCTAAGGTAACATAAAAGATGTTCCAGGGGTTCCAAATTGTTTAAATACTTTAATATCAACCCGATAGCACTAACTTCCTGAAAGATATTATGCATCATTCAGAAATCTTATGTATTGAAGGATCTGTAAATTGTTTCCTAAATGATATTGTACCCTCTTCATTTGTTTAACAGGCCTGCAGAAATCCAATTTGTCTTGACCTGTCTTCAAATCTTTTACATGGACGACTAACTGGAAACAAAGTAGTCAACTGGGACATCAAGGTAAATGCATACTGAAGAAGCAGAACCTGATGTGAATATGACAGTGGCTGCATATGTTCACCTAACTTTTGGAATGCCAGCAGTTGTTATCATAATGCCATTGACATTTAGCAGATACAGCATGCTTTTATAATGAGAATTAATGGGTTAATGCTGTAGCTGGAGTAGTATTTCATTACATTTGTGGTGACCGTAAAAGGCTGGCGGTCTTAATGTCATAGATGATGCATTAAGATATTTTATGGTAGCTGGCTACTCTTCATAATCTGTTCAATGCATGTTGTGTATTGAAAGCATTTTATTGTCTCTAGGGGATTCTGTTATGGTTTTCTTGCAGTCTCAAACTCTGAATTAGATTAAGATTAGTAGGGTTAAATTAACACTTGTGACTTTTGCTGTGTTAGTCATATAAAAAAATATTATTGAATTGCAGTCTAACTTCAGCAGAAAACAAGGTATGGAGTTAAAATCTTACAAGAATCTAGTTTTGTGGTTGTTTTTTTAAAGAGGTAAGTTAATCTGGCTGTCTTTTGGTTTGCGGTTGGCAGGACTAGATGATAGCACAGTCCGGAAGCATCTCTTAAGAAAAAACACCAAATACTCACTAAAGTGTTATACCTTATTCTGTCTCTGCTATATGCTAATTGTCAAATATTTTTTCCTTATTGTTGCATACACTGGGATATTTGATTCTTACAGCCTATGCAGATGATCTTTGTTTAACTTTGCTAGCAGTTGTAATCACAGCACTACTGCAATATTAGCATTGGAGCTTAAAATTTAACATTTTCTGGCTAAACCTGTTTCTAGTCTCTGACTCAAACATTGTTATAGCAAAACTGTCCTATATTTTGGTTTTTATTTTTTGTTCTGTTTTCTTAATCAACACATAAGGTCCTTAGGTCCTTCTGGTTAATCAGTTAATTTCTTAGTCTCATGCCACTGACAGTTCAGATCTGACTTTATACTATAGAATTAAAACTCACAATTTTGTCAACTCAACACTGCCAATGAGGTTTAGTATTAGTGGTTTAGATTTTCTTGGTGCTCCACAAACAGAATACCATTTATGCAAGTTACATGTCCATTAGATGTCTTCTGTGTAAAATAGCAAATGGTCTTCTACTTGCTAGTTCATGGAGAGGAGGAGGAAACCATGAAATCCACACCAGCTTAATAAATATGTCTGTGTACCTGGCTTCTTATTTGTTCCCTGATCACTAACATGTATTAGCATGAAAAAAAGCCAGGCTTAGCTCTGTGCATGAGGAAATCAAGTTATTTGCAGTGTCAGGTTTTGATCCAGAAACAGTGACATAAATAAGGATTTATTTCTTTAAATTTAGATAAAATACATCCAATTCAATTTTGTAGGCAGAATCTTTGATGAAGGGCTTGTAGCTTTGAGAAAATAAAATCCAAAGTCTGAGTGTAGAAAACTTGTCAGTAGAATACCACATCTTGTTTTGCCTTGAGGAAAAATGTATGAACAAATAAATATGAGCTGCTTTTTTTCTTAAGAACAGTGAACAATCAACTGTACTAGCAAACTAATTAATAAGAAAATATTGTTAGACCTACACTGTGCATATGCCGACTTGTGGAGATTAATGTTAAGAAAATTCAGGCACTTGCTGCTTAATTTTGCTATGATTTGAATAGTCTGAAAATACTGCAATTTGTTCTCCTCACCCAGTAGTGGGAAGAGGGGTGGGTGAGGGGTGTTAATATCTCTGGCATTATGAGAAAGCCTATTGTGAGTACTAGTTTTAGGAGGAGCATTCATTAACAAACATGATGGAGTTTAGCACCCTCTTGAGGAGGACTAGAATGAGGAAAAAACACAAGAGCTGATCAGGAGCTCATGAGGAGATAGTTACAGCCTAGAAGGAGCTATAGCTACTGCTGTCTTGTAGGTCAGCAAATTCTGTTTTTCAAGTTGATTTCTGTTTCCAAAAACTGCGGGTTTGTGGTGCCTCTTGTTTTGCTCAACTAACACAGAAATCTTCATCCATGAGAAATTTCGCAGATTTAAAAAACTTTCTTAGTTTAACTGTTCAATTTTGTTAAACTCACCTTAATAAATGTGGGCTGGAAAGGGGGCATCGTAAAGACACATGGAGCAGAGTAACAATTGAAAAAGTAGAAAACTATGGAGAAGAAAGATTATTTTCTCCACTTCTCCCCAACATTTCTGACTGGGAGAGAGAATGGTATCTCATGTTCACAGAATGACAGAATGGTAGGGGTTGGAAGGGAGCTCTGAAGATCATCTGGTCCAATCCCCCTGCCAAGGCAGGATCACCTAGGGCAGGTTGCACAGGAACAAGTCCGGTTGGGTTTTGAAGAGAAACCACAACCACAAACTCCACAACCTCTCTGGGCAGCCTGTTCCAGTGCTCCATCACCCTCACAGTAAAGAAGTTTTTCCTCATGTTGAGGTGGAACTTCCTGTGCTGCAGTTTATGCCCTTTGCCCCTTGTCCCCTCCCTGGGCACTACTGAAAAGAGACTGGCTCCATCCTCTTGACAGCCACCCTTCAGATACTTATAGACATTGATAAGGTCCCCTCTCAGCCTTTTCTTCTCCAGACTAAACAGCCCCAGGTCTCTCAGCCTTTCCTCATACGAGAGATGTTCCAGTCCCTTAATTTTTGTAGCCCTCCATTGGACTCTCTCCAAAAGTTCCCTGTTTCTCTTGACCTGGGGAGCCCAGACCTGGACACAGACTCCAGGTGAGGCCTCACCAGCGCAGAGCAGAGTCTGTTAATAGACTGGCTGACAGTATATTGGGTGATTTTGGATGTTAAAATTTTATTACATGATAGTTTTCATTGGACTAAGCTGGGTAATTGAATAGGTGTCTCTGGCTAGCTTGCCGAGATCCTGATTTTCTAAGTGGCATTGTGAATCACTTCTAGAAATCTTATGATTTGAATATGTTATACTTTACCACAAGAAGTATTATTTCAAGTCTCATGCTATCCCTGCTTGTGAGGCGGTGTGGGGAAAAGGGGGCTTAGGAGACTTGAATTTTAAAAAGAGGTATTAATAAAGTTACTTTTAAAAAAATATAAAATTTTATTATTTTTGAACTGCCTGAAGTTAAAAAAATCTTACAGGAATATGATTAAAGCACAGGTGTGTATAATCTTTTCTTACTGTTTGCTGCAAGTAATGTAGAAAAGGTAAAAATATATTTTTCCTATTTTTCAAATATAATTGGCAGAAGATTCCTTCTGAGATTTGTATCCTTCAGTTTCCTGTGTTTATATGGGGGGAGGAGGAAGAAAATGTAAAAATGCACTTTCAAAACAAGAACTGACAGAAAGGCATGTGTGTAGTTGCAGTGTCTAAAACTTGGGCAGCTCTGTTGTTAAACACAGTGTTTTAAATTAGTTTGAAAGTGGCATGTGAAACATTCTGATGAATTTGTGAGTATGTAAGGTTCCTTCTATCTGGAGTAAATTTCTGTTACATAGTTTAGGGGATTTGACTTATGGTGATGTCTGTCTTCCTTTTTCTCTTACAGGATATGATCAACTGTATTGGTGGAGTGAATGTGCTGTTTCCATTACTGGAGCAGATCAGTTTTCTTGGTGGACAGATGCCTGAGAAGTCTGAAGGGGAAACTCTACCTCCAGAACTAGTTACTCCTGTAGAGGAAGACTGGGTGGTATTGTCATCCACAAAGGCATCAGGTAGAAAAGAACAGTTGAACTGAAATAATTTTTAAGCTTGATTTTAAAAATCTTCCTATGAATGACAGAAAGCTGTTTTATTATGTACTGGCTTTTCCAGAGTATCTATGTAAAGCTGGAAGGCTCTTTTTCTTCCTAGATACCTGATATACTGGATACCAGGAGTTCACCAGTATGTAAAATTAACTTTCTGACATATTTCAAATATAGCTATATTTAATAGCAGTATTTTTCTTCTTATGATTTACTTTACATTAGTGTAAAAGTATGCAGTTTTTAAATTTGTATTTGAAAAGTTTGTTCTGATTATTTTCAGAAATTATGTTTGATACAAAGCCTACTACTATCAATAGGAGGAGCTTTCCTACAACTAGGTGCTGGGTCAGCCAGCCACATGAAGACTTTGCAGCATCAGAAAAGCACTTCTTAGTCTTTAGCCAAACTTTTCTTTTCTTAGGAAAATGTTCAGACTCCTACCTCATCCACACAAAGTCAGATATTAGTATTAAAATTAAAAAAAAAGGGGGAAAGGAAGCTTTAAGAATAGATTTTTTTTTTTTAACTGTACTAATATGGAGAGTGAATTTTGATCTTAACAGAAACCACTGGGAAATCAGACCTTGCAACGGAAAACAGCATTTTTTTGGTTTCAAGTATGAAATGGTGGAGTCAAGCTAAAAAGAAAGTATCTTTTTCTCTCTGTCTCTAAATTTTTATGTGTATCATGGCTAGAAAGTTTGCAACTACAGAGGGAGAATAACTGCAGCATATGTAAAAGATCGTAACTGAAAGAGAAGTTTGTCTGTAACCTACAGCCAGTTCGGGAGAGGCATGAAATGGCTATGACTGTGCACTGGAAAAATCTAAAAACAGCCTACAGCTAGGGATCAAACATAAAACAAGTTAAGAAGTTCAGGAAATAACGAGGAATGCTAATGCTTGATTTTACTTCTTCCCCTCTACTTTTATGCAGTGGTCCAAAAATAAACCATGAGGCTTTTACTATTGTTGGTCTGTTTTGCAGAAGCACGCCTGGAGAAGAACATTGTTGCAACTTTCATCTTGATGATAAAACACTTTATTCAGAGACACCATGTTAATCAAGAAAATCTCATTCACTCCCATGGAGTTGCCACCCTAGGAGCCTTGTTACAGAAGGTGAGCAAATTTGAGAAACACCCTTTAGTTAATGTTTTGGATGAGGTCCTCATTACTTTGAAACATTCTTAGTTTGGCCAGGATGGGAGCATCTTCAAGGGTCTCCTTAGTATATGTTTTTCTTTCTCATGTTTCTGAAAACAAAAAGGTGTGAGGAGTTGGTATTGATCTGCAAAGTGAAACATGGGTGGTTTGTCTTTTTTTCATGTTCTGCTTTTTTTTGTTATAGATACTGTGTTGTATGGTTCTTCAAACTAGACTGGTTTTGTGTTTCTTGTACTGCTGTAATGGAAGCAGACATTGCTGTAGAAGATAATCTCAAAATCTTATTTTAAAAAATGAATTTTATTAGGATATTCAATATTTTGAGTGCTAACACTTGTTATTTTGAAAGGTGCCAAGCAACTTAATGGATGTGAATGTATTGATGGCTGTACAGTTGTTGATAGAACAAGTCTCAGTAGAAAAGAACATACAGCTGTTGCAACAGATGTATCAACACTTACTTTTTGACTTCAGTATCTGGAACAGTGGGGACTTCCCCTTCAGAATTGGTGAGCTCTTGGACTTGGGCAACTGTGCCAAGACACAGCACCTCTTCACTTCACATATTTATTTAAGTTCTAATACAAAACTTTATATTGTAGGGCATATACAATATCTTTCTACAATCATCAAAGACAGCAGAAGACTCTTCAGAAAAAAATTTGGTGTGCAATTTCTTCTAGACACACTCAGGATTTATTATGGGTATGAGTTTTACCTCTTCTAACTCCTCCTTATTTATTGTATATGGCTGTTGGGTTTTTTCCCCCCATCATCCTAGTGAGAAAATTAATAAATAAAACTGCAGGTTGGCTTTTGGTGGTTGATTTGATTTTCAAAATTGCATTAATTTTTTTTCCATTTGACATGCTACTTTTCCTTGACTTGAATTTTTATGATAGGATTATATAAAATTTACGTCAATGATGCCATAAATGCTTGGAAAAGTCATTAAAATTACAAAATTGAAGGACTTCTTATCAACAATGCAAACTAAGTTATAGATCGTTACCATTATGAAAAGAGAGGATGTTTATAATTTTAAGCTATTTTGTTTTTTTACATTCTTGTAGAAGTTGAAGTAGGACTTCTTTAGGAATTCAAAATTCTAGCTTTCACCCTTGGTGATTTGTATTTGCTTATGAATATAGTTATGTCATTGAGGAAGATTGGCTAGAGACCTTGCTCTTGCCTTTAGAGGGTGGGAGGGGGAAATCTGAAATCCTGACCTTTATCCAGATCAGTACAAGTCTACGTTTCAGGGCTTCTATAGACTTGGTAAGTCTGATCTACTATTGCTTATTACTATGCAGTTGCCTTCAGTAAAAATTGGTAACTGGTGCCCTGGTATCTGAGTAGATGAAAAATTGCAAAACTAGCACAATCAAATTGCTATTAATGAGTCACGAAGAAGTTATGTTGCTTTTTCTGTCTGTTGGTGTATAGGAGTGGCTGTAAAGACAGTGATTTGGTTCCTGATGACCTGAGAACAATACGTACATCCCTCTATGGACTGATCAGATACTTCCTGAGCAAAGGTGGAACACATGAAGAAATACAGAGCATCATAGGATATATAACTGCCACAAATGAAGAAGAACAGGTATCCAATATGGCATAAATTAATACTTTAAACTGTACATGTTTTGGTTTTTGCTTCTTGGTGTTTAGGAATTTTGTGTCTTGTGTGCTTAAAAGAGAGGGGGAACAAAACAAACCAAGACGACAAGCAAATTGTTACTTGATGCGTGGTTCTATTTAGATGTAGCTGAGGCAGGTTATAGAAGCACACTGGAAACTTGACAAAGAGCTCTGCAGGTGGCCATATTTCTACTAGCTATTTTTTTTTCCCTGAAAAGGGCAGATAGCGCATGATGTGTAATACTGCCATTAGAAAAATCCTCTTGGTTTACAAAACCAAGTGAATTGGACTTCAAGTGATCAGAAGTTGTAATGATGTGGTTTCTTTGCAGACATCAACAGAACTTAAACTTGCTTTGTAGCTCTAATTACGGTTTGGTACGGTGTTCTATATATAGAAAAAATGTATCTGAAAAAATGTAATTTTAAATGCAGTAATATTGAGCAGACAAGATGTCTAGTTTATAACAAGCAAAGGGTAAAATTTAAAAGCCAAGAAAATTTTCCCCAAACAGAGCAGGAAGTCTGATTGAACTGTGAATTAATTTAGTTGTCTTAATTTTGTAGCTGTGTGGAATTCTGGACATTCTCTTCAGTCTACTTCATTCCAGCCCATCCCCAGACCAGCTTTTTTTATTGCTTTTTGAACCAGGAAATGCTGATATTCTTTACACTCTGTTATTGCATCAAAGATACTCTGACCGGCTTAGAGAACTTGTGTTCAAGGTAATGAATTGAATTATATGTTCCTAAATCAATCAATACGTTTGTATTTTTCAGCGTTCTGACTGCAGAAGTGTATGCAATTGTAAAGATACTAATAATCCAAGTTTTAATTTTTTCTTCTCTTTTCTGTTATGTTAGCTAGATGTTACTGTTTACTGCCATAGTCACAAGGAAATTAGTGTTCTCTTGAAGTATTGGGATTTTAAAAAAAAAAAAGTCGTCCAAGTTGTTTGAGTTAGCTTACAAAGTAAACTTTAAAAACAGTGGAGCAGCATGTTATATCATACACAATTAAGTTTGACATCTGGATGTTCCCTTGTGTTTATTTTACATTTGTGTATACTTTTTTGTGTAGATTGTGGAAGAGATGCTGAAATGTACTAAAGTTTATGAACGTAGTAAGCACCGTATGAGACTCAGAGAAGTGGGATACTCTGGACTGGGGCTGCTTCTGAATGAATCGCCAGTTACCGTTTCTCTTATTAAAAACCTTCTTAACCAAGTTCTGTATGCAGGTAATTGGCAAGTGTTGTGTATACCTTTAGTAAACTCCTGCTGCTCAGAGGCCAACATACTAATTTTTTTGCTCAGGAAAACCAGAGCTGTTCTATCACAGCTATTCGCAATTCCCATTAGTCTCAGCTAATGTTTTCTTAGTTCCCTGAAGTTTGTTTCCTTTACTACCCATGGATGTAGAGGTGACCTCCAAGAACATTTTTAATATTTAGCTGTTACGTTCTCTTGCATGATATCGTTTGTGTTGTTTTTTCTTTCTCCCCTACAGATCCTGCTGTGAATTTTAAAGATCTCATAGCTGTAGTTCATCTGGCTCATAGATCAGATATAAACGTGAGAGTGGTTATCTGTAGAAAGGTTAGTTGTTGTCTTTAAACCGCAAATACTGTCCATAAGCTGTACAGTGTGATATCTTATTTATTCGAGACACAGTGGCAGTATGTGTTGCTATTGCTTTCTTTAGCAATGATTTATGTTAAAAATTAAGCCTATCTGTCACTTAATGGTGAATTTAATGTATTCAAGTCCTTTTAAAAACCAAAACAAAAAGGAAAGCCTCTGTCGTGATTCTCAAATAGTTTGTGTTTTCTGCAGATTAGAGTTAGTAAACTCCTTGAGTTACTGAGTTTTCTCAAAGGATGCTTAGGACTGTGATCAAAGTTTTGTTTGTATTCTTAATGTGTTATTTTGATAGAATATATTGTGGTTTAAAAGAGTGGTTGTGGACGTAGGGAAGAGATAGGGAAGCAGCAGTGACTTTTTCCTAAACTGCACTCTCTCTGGCTTGTATTGCTGGAATTGGTAGCACTGAATGTAGCTGTGAGACACTATATTGTCTATTAAGGTTTCTCTAAGTGAAAAAAGTCAAATGATAATCTACACTTATTGGTAAGCTATTAATACTGCAGCTTGCTTTATTTTAACTAATTAATACTTCCTAGTCAAGCATATTTTCTGTTCTAGGTTTTCTTTTTTTGAAGACTAGTGGCTTAATAAGATTATTCGTTGTGATAATTGGCTTTTGCAAGAATTGTTGCAGAAGAGTGGCTGAAATATGAGGACTTACCAATGTGCTTTGATAGCTTCTTTCCTCCCCTCCTGAGAATTTTTTTTCTCAAATATATATTTCCAGTGAGAAAAATTGTGTGGTTTGTTTGCTTTTTATTAACGGATTGTGGCTCTTTTACAAGGTTCTAAAAAAAGGCAAAAAAAGTTGTAAGATTGTAAAATGTCTAATTGAAAAGCTAGAATTAATGCAGTTACAAGCTAAAATTAACATGTAGGTATGGGTTATCTTCTCCTATCCTTAGGTTTTGCACCTTTTGCATTCCCAATTGGATGCAGCACAACAGATCTCTCAGCAGCTGGGCTGGCAGGACACTTTGATTAGACTATTCCTGAAAGAAAACTCAGAGGTCCAGATTGGCTTTAAAGAGAACAGGGCTGATTCTTCAAGGGAAGGGGAAAATCTGAAGAGCTTCAGAAGCATCAACCTGATAAGACAGAGGGAGACAGAACTGTCAGCTTTGCATCTGTTAATGGTCTGCTTGATCAATGGAGTTTGGAAGACAACAAATCCCTGGATGTTCCTGCTCATTTCTCTGTTACGCCACTGGAAGATGCGTCCACAACAGAGATGTCTTTTAGGTCAGAGGACCGAGAAGAATTGTGGCACAGTAATCCTTCACATTTGAGTTTAGATCTGTCCAGTACTGACTCTTATGAATTGGCTGACATTGTGAATCAGATGACAGATAGCCAGCCCAGTACACCATCACCTATAGAGAACACAAAACCATTCTCTGTGCAGCCTGACAAAGAGCTGGGTGTTATAAATGATGTGGGCTTCACCGCTGATCTTTCTTTATTAGAAAACCAAGGAGTAAGTAATTCACTCCCTTTGTGGTTAATTTCTCCAAATGTCTGCAATTCCTTTTTATTTTTTTAATCTCTCCCTTTTTTTTTTCCTCTCCCATCTTCCAACAGAAAAGCAAACAATACAACTCTTTTATAGTGCGTGGGGGTACTTCCTTTTGTAATGTGTCACCTTTTTTGTTTGTCTAGATGGCATAGCTTTGATGGTCAAAAAAACCAAAACAACCAAAACAAAACCCCAAAACCCAAACAAAAAAAACCAACCCCCAAACAAGCAAAGAAAAAATTACAAACTCCCCCCCTGCCTTTATCTTCCAGAGGAGGTGTGGAGTAGACTTGCTGTGAAAAAAGCAAGGGTAGCTAAAGGTCAGGTTGAAATAGTGTAGAAGTCAAGTGAGTATATATTACAACATACAAGCAAGCCACAGTCTCCACAGTCTCTTATATTTGGATTTTCATGTATTTAGCAGTTGGACTTTAGACTGCAGAGTTTTAAAAAATGCTGAAATATGCAAGCATAGAGACTGTGATAACCGAGAAACAATTTGAAGATGTTCTAGACTACAAGGGCTGTAAATACTTCTCTTCTTTTGTAGGGGTGTGATAATGAACTCGTACAGTTACTTACAGACATCCTACTGTGTATAATGTGGAAAGGCATTGAAAAATCTGATGATGCTGCTTGGATTGAGAGAGGACAGGTGTTTTCTGCACTGACCAAACTGGGGATATCTAATGAGTTGCTGCGACCTTCTGATGAAATAAAACTCAAGTGAGTGTACAGTTCAAGGACAGGTTCTTTCATCCCTTTTGAGGAAAAAGAGAAAAGTTAAGGGGCGTTAGTGAAGCTGGAAAATGGTGGTTGTTTCCCAACAAAATGTAGTTTTCTTTGCTCTCTCTTCATACACTGTCAGAACTATATTCTACTACCTATTTAGTAGTGTCATGTGGCCATAAGATTTTGAAACTGTACTGCTGGTTTAATGAGCTTCTCAAAATCTCTTTTACTTCATTGGCTTATTGAGAAGACAGCAGTTATGTCACTGCAGACTAAGGGATTCAATTAAATACTTAATTGGATCTTTTTTTTAAAGCCACTTACACTTAGCACATGTAATAATTACTTTGGGATTTTGTTTTCTATGCAGCTTGCTGGAGAAGATGTTAGAATGGTCAGTCACTGATAACAGAGATTCAAAAGCTCTCCCTACACATGCTGAAAATGCCTTCAAGCTCTTGCTAATTGTACAAGATTTCCTGCAGGCAGAAGGACTAGTTAATTCAAATTTATGGACAGAAAAGGTACAGTAACTGCATAATGGAAGCACTGTATATAGGCTGAAATAGTAATTAAAAAGTTGTCAGCTTTGATACTGTCATCCCTTTTTAGGCATATGTTTTTAAACTATAGATACTACAGACTAAAGGTTCATAGTGGAATGGATTAGATTGCCCCTTAATTAGTAAGAAAGTGTGAATACTTACTAAAGGGAACATAGTTAATTTTGCACATCAAATAGGCCTATAAGTGGTACTCTTTATTGAAAATCCAGGTCTCTTCACACTGGAGAAGTATTCAGAAAATGCAGGAGCTAATGAAACAATGTCAGTTGTAACCTAAGCAGATTTTGCACCTTTTATCAGCATGTATCACTCATTATGTGTGTCTTGAATAAAAGACCAGCCAAAACTCTTCTCTTGGTTGCAAGCTGAGAAATGTCACTTCTGGGCTTTGACCCATATTGGAGTTTCAACATGACTTTGTGCATATATATGCAAATAGTTCAGTTTTGTATATGAGTCAGAAACATGAGGTCTGACGAAGAAAATGACCAGCAAACATAGTAAGTAGTAAGGTAAAGAAGCTTTCTGTCAACTGCCTGTTTCTCCCGCCTTCTTGACATACATGTTGTAGACACCCATAATTTGCCTCAACATTTATGTAACCTCTGGCAGTGGTCTTGCTTCCTTCACTGAGTTGTCATCGCTTTTCCATTTTTCAAGGCGAAAGGGGGGGAGGTATTCTATGAAAACCATAAATATATCATGATAAATACTTAAAAAATCAGGGTTGTTTTAAGCCTACTTTGGGGGTGGGGACTGTAATATTAAGTTGTCAACACAGTAATTCCTAAGCTATTCTCCAGAATGCCTCCTTATAAGTAAACATAGCTTAATCTTAAAGCTTTTGATTGTTTGTTTTTCAAAAAGTCTCTTCTTGGTAGAAGCTTTGCCTTCTGTTGTGATCTTGTTCAGTGAAATCTAATTAGAAATGAGATCTGAACTTTGGAGCAATTAGAGATGTGCTTGTTGCCAACTCTGAATTGAAAATTACAGTACTTTCATGAATTATTTTCCACTGTGCCTGGGGAGAATTTAAAGCACTGTAATATTCTAAGCAGGACAGCCTTCAGTCTGCCACAGAAGCATTCATGTGATTCTGGGGCCTAACAAAAGAATGATTTTTACATTTGAGTAACTTATTAGGGAATTTATCAAGGTACATTAGTTTTAAACAAACGTGTCTAGATAGTGAAATGTGCCATTTGCCTTGTGAATACCTACCTTTCACAAGGTTTGTATCACTTCTAGTATTAAAATACTGACAGAAAGGGGCGTGCCTCCTATTTTTTTTTTTTTAAAGAGATTAATAGTTGTTGCAAAGGTTCAAGCATTTCACTAAATTAGATATTCATGAAAGAAGCCTTGCTTTCCTTTTCTGGGTACTGTGTGTATTGCTATTGCTGGTAAATTATATGAGCATTGCACTCAAATAATTTAAAATACAAAGCAAAAGAATAAAATCTATCTATACTGGACTCAGAAATTGCATGTTGATATGGTATCTGTGCTAGTAATAATAGTGTCTTTTCAATCATATTAATCCTGCTCAGGGAGTCACTAACTTTTCTAAGGAAATGGCATTTACTGGAGTTAAATTATAGGAAAAACATAAGCATATATACTATATACTGTTTTTTACTTTATTCAGGGGAGATACTTGAGTTACCATACTGGGCTAGATAGACTTCTGTAGTCAGGAATGATTTCAAATCACTAGTTTAACTGCAGTGTTCTGGGATAATTTTCTGGGTTTGAGTAAGTTAGAAGTGTGAACACAGCCTCTTATTCAGCTCTCTGAAATTATTGTGTCTCCAGCTGGAGTAGCTGTTGTTAATTTTATTTCATGCAAATCTTCTATTTTTACAATAGCTCTTGGAAGAACTAGTGACTCTCATGGATAGCCTGTCAGTCTGGTACTCTGCTGGCCTAGAAGCAATCAGGCTTTCACAGGTGCAAGTCCAGTTGCTCCTTGGATTCATTGCACAAGATAACTTACAGGTTTGTTGCAAATTCCAATGTTTTAAGTGCATGTTTGATGTAACTCTCTATCGCTCTCTACAGCTACCTGAAAGGGGGTTGTGGCAACGAGGGTGTTGGTCTCTTCTCCCAACTAACTAGTGATAGGACAAGAGGAAATGGCCTCAAGTTGCGCCAGGGGAGGTTTAGATTGGATATTAGGAAAAATTTCTTCACCGACAGGGTGGTCAAGCATTGGAACAGGCTGGCCACGGACGGGGTGGAGTCGCCATCTCTGGAAGTGTTCAAAAAACGTGTGGATGTGGCGCTTCAGGACATGGTTTAGGGGACATGGTGGCGCTGGATTAATGGTTGGACTTGATGATCTTGAAGGTCCTTTCCAACCTTAGTGATTCTGTGAACTGTGGTTTATGTGGGAGCTGCTCATACCAGTGAGCAGACTGGCAGTCTTTCATCTATCTATAGGGAAGATGTTTTATTGGTTCTTGTCATTTGCAAATCTACTCTATAGTCTTGTCTATGGACACTTCCTAAGCATGCGAGGTAGAGAGCAAGCTGTTTGAAGACGGGACTATGTAGGCACTAGTGTCAGTAAGTGATTCTCATTGTGACTTTTTGTTTCTACCATAAAATACATTTATTGGAGGTTTCAGGCTTACATGCATTAAGTGCACATGAGCCTGGACTGTTCTGCCAAATCAACATGTGGAACAAAGTTAGCAGAGCTGTTCCTGGCATATGAGCCCTTCAGTAAAGCCAGGATTGTTAGTTTAGGGATGTGATTGTCTTAATGCAGTTGTGTGACTTTGGGGTTGCAGCTGACTCAGGTTTGGTTATCACAGGATAAGTGATCAGTGCCCATATTTGATGCATGTGTGCCTTCAGGCTACCTGGCATGCAGCCAGAATATGTACATACTTCTGTGCTAAAAAGATAGCTACTCAAAATTGCTATTTTGAGGATTGCATTTATTTTTTGTTGTTTGTCTGTGTAGGTCTGTGCTATGGCAGCAGCCAAACTAAACACCCTCCTTCAGACAAAAGTAATTGAGAGCCAGCCTGAAGCATGTTACCTCTTGGGGAAGCTGGAAGGCATCTTGAGTAGATCAATTGAAGAGAAGACAGAAACTTACTCATTTTTGATTCCCCTTGTTCGGACATTGGTATCCAAGATTTATGAACTTCTCTTCATGAACCTGCATCTCCCTTCATTGCCTCCTACCAATGGCAGCCCATCTTTCTTTGAGGACTTTCAAGAGTACTGCAGCTCTGATGAGTGGCAAGTTTATATTGACAAATATGTAAGTATTTGTATCACTTTCCCCCTCTTTTTAGCAATGAAAGCAGAGGAACTAATTCAGAAATCACCTTGTGCTTTTTGTTTTGGTGGAATCAGATTATTCCAAATATGAAGCAGTATGAAGAAAATTCGTTCAGACGTGATCACGAGCAGATGGCACTTTATTGGAAAGATTGTTACGAAGCATTTATGGTGAACATGCACAAGCGAGACCGGGAGGGAGGAGAAAGTAAGCTTAAATTTCAGGTAAGGTTTTGAGTGAGTGCACGTTTCTCTTAGAACTGTCTCAGGAGTTACGTTCTAAAAGATGGAGAAACTGAATTCCAGGATGATCCAATTCAAGTGATTGTAGGCAGGTTGATTGTTTTAAGATTTTATGGGCAGTGTGACTATATACACTTGTAGGATATGCTTTGTAATTCTGTTTTTTCTATTTCAGAGTCTTAGCTGTAAGCAGAGTTATTTTGGGACACTAGGCCTTTCTCACAGTATAGCAACTAGAATTACGCTCAGCTATAAGCTGCATCTGCTTTTACTCTGATTTATGGTTTGAATTATTAAAACCTCTTCTCCATTATAAGATGAATCAGTGTGGGGTTTTGGGGGGGGGTGGGTGGGTGGGTTTGGTTTTTGTTAAACCCTACTTCAGTACAATGAAAACTTATAAAACAGCGAACAGTTCCTATTTAGTGTGTGGAAAAATTGTTTCTGGACTGACCTTTCTGTATAAGGTCCAGAGTCAGTTTAAGCATTAGAATTAACTGGTATTTACAGCAAATATCATAGCTAAGTTATGTTTCTCTTATTTTCCCTTTGTCATCTTAATAAGGATCCTTGTAGTAAGTCTTGTTTATTCAAGTGGCTAAAGGTAAGAATACAATATGAGTCACATTCTAGAATACCAGAATTTGAAGAAAAATTGTAATAGGATTTTCAATACTGACCACTTTCCTGATCATGAAAAATTGCTTTTATATGGATTCAGCATTGATAATGCTTTCTTCATATCTTTAAGTTGAAGTTTGGTGCCATTTCTTCCAGTACTAAGCTTTTTAAAGTTTCTTTCTTAAGCATTACCTTAATTTTTCAGAAGCTTTTACTGCTAAACTTTTTTTGTTCCTTCTTAATTTATGAAAATTCTTGCAGGTCACGAAACTGTGCTTTCAAAGGTCAGAGTTATTTCGGTGCTAGATTTATTTTTTGTGGTCTTTCAGGAACATTTTGTGGAACCATTCAGCAGAAAGGCTCGACAGGAAAATCTGCGGTACAACAGCATGCTAAAGCAACTTAATAGTCAACACACAGCTACTCTGAGACAGTGGAGAGCCGCTCAGCTTTACTTGCTCTCTGAACGTGGGCCTTGGTCTGAAATGTAAGAATGAAGTTCTTAAATCAAACGGTATATGATGCTTAAAAGGAATTTGATCACATGACTAACTTTTCACATGGTTAGAACCTTGTCACATAGACTCTGATAACCATTCTTGAGATGTGACGTTAATATTGAATGCATCTTTTATAATGTTTTCTGCATTTAATTATCAAAATGCAAAGTTTGACGTGTAATGCTGAGCTCATTACTTGGATACTAGATTGTCTTGCCAAGTGACAAATAAAAATTAGTTATCAACAAAGTGATTGCAGAAACTTTGAGAGATGCTATGGGTCGGTGGTTTTGTTGGAAAAGAGAGAATAGGCTTGTTAATAAAGGCTTTGAGTCTCGCTTATGCAGGAAGCTAATTTCAATTTAAAAGAATACATTTTGCCTGTCTTAGCTTTTGGGAAAATTCTGGATAAAGATTTTTTTCCTTTTTTTCCCCCCTTTTAATTGTCATTAACAAAGTGTCAACAATTTGATGTATTTCAGTAGAAAATAAATACTGTTTACAAAGTGCTTTAGGATGATCAGAGCTGCAATATGAAATATAAAATTAAAATGCAGTTTATTGTTTGTATGTTTTTCAATGTACAAGTGGATCATCAGTAGTTCTGTAGATATGTACTCTTTTATAATCAGTTCCTTCATATAAGTCATTACCTTCTTTTAACTTTTTATAAATATTCTTTTCCTGCTGTTTTCCTAGGAAACAGCATCCAATTCATTGGAAACTTTCAAATGTGGAAAACTTTTCACGTATGAGACTAAAACTAGTGCAGAATTACAACTTCAACTCTCATCAGGATGCTAGTGACCTGAGAGATAATTTAGGTAAAGTTGTATTATATTTGCTATTTCACTTGAGATTCTTCAGTCTTTACTGAAGAAAGTTGCACGTTTTACTCTTTGTATTCAAGAATCGGTGCATGATAGATACTTAAATCTTGATTTTACTTTATTTTCTCTATGGTAAAATGTATAACATAAGAATGGTGCTTTGACCTGAAACAGCATCTTCCTACTGAGTAGTATTCATTTCCCCTTGCTAATTGAAATGTGTCTTTTTGTTGAAAAAACCCCAAAGTTAAAGAACTCCTTTGTTTTAAAATAAGCAGTCACGTAGCTTTCTTGCATAAGACTATTTTTTCAAGAAATGGAAACAATGAGATCAGACTAAACAGGCAATATTTGTTTAAAACCTTTTAGAGCTTATGATTAAAATGTGTAGATATGAAGCGCCTTGTTTCAGAAGTGTACCAAACAGCTGTGTTAGTGGTGTGGACTGTTCTTTAAGTTAGGTGTATTGGATATCAAGACTCAAACCAAAAAAAAAACCAACACTCCAACACTCTTGTAAGCCCAAGTAAGCAATAAACAAATGCAATGTATTTCCATGAAATCTGCATGCTTTAACGGTGTCTAACAGAACACTGCAAAATACTTTACTGGAAATGTCCACATCAGAATTCAGTTTAAAATTTCCTTGTGTATTTATGTCTTCTCTTTATATTTGACATATATTTCAGTGTAGTTCAGGGAGTATTTTTAGTGTTCTGCTTGCTCCCAGAAGTATTTAAGAAGTCTCTTTGCTTCTTACTCAGTTAAAACCAAGATTCAGCAGTAGCAAATACACTCGGTAGTTTAGCTTTCCAAAAGTGTTGTAGCAAAAAATTTTCTGAGCTGAAATATCTGTCCATGATAGGTGTGCACCAGACACAGCCCTCTAGTGAGTCTTTGCTTCTGGAGGTGGTGAAGCAGGTGAAAGTGAGTGACTTGGAAGATGATGTTCTTGAACTACTAGAAGAAGACACAGCAGCCAGTTCCAATTTGTAAGTACAGCAGAGTAGAACAGTTGAAATTGTTTCTGTGCTAGGGATGAGGAGTGAGAAACAACTTTGGGCATTGATTAGCATACAAAGATTCCCTCTTTCTTTGTCTGGCCTTAATAAGTCTGTCCAGGGCTTTGTAGTAGTTTTGAACAGCAGAAAAGTTGCAGTTGGATTTATTGTCAACAATGAGACAAAGAGCCCCAGGGAAAAAAGGCAGAGCAGATGTTTCTGAGGCTAAGTTAATGATTCACTGCTCACAGTTGGTCTGCAGCTGAAGCTACAGGCTTTTCTGTTGAGGCTTTTCTACTATGTACATTGGCTATAATTCTCAAGAGGCAGTCTGCCCTGCAAGGGCATAGACCAGACTGGAACTGGCTCTTATCTATAGATGCTAGGGCCATTCCCTATACCATCAGCTGCATAGCATGCAGGTTTGCTTGGTTGGCATTAATCTGCAAGACAGGCCACTGTGTTTAAGAGCATTCCAGAGAGAAGGCCTGCTGAGCTTCCTTCATGTCACTTGTGTCACTTTAAAAAAAAAAAAAAAAAAAAAAAAAAAAGAGGAGGTGACAGGGCAGGGGGAGATAGCAAATGCTTCACTCCAGTAACTGGATATGAGATGTTGTGCATGCATCTATGTGTGTCTATGCTGTTGAAGTCCAGTGGAGATGTGACACTTCTTTGAGTGATACCGATGCATTTTCTTGTACCTTAGAGGTTATTGAATGCTTGCTTGTGGTGTGTTTATAGATATAGACTTCTGAGCAACCATTACTTCAAATACTTTTGAAGATAACTTTAGTCACATGAACCAGGACTCAGCTCTGCTCTGGGCCAGAGACTTTAAGCACCTAGCAATTAAATAAGAAAGGGAAATGCAGCCTCATGTTTTCATACTTCAAGGGAGGTCAAGTCCATTGTTCCTGAGACTGAAATATCAAGCCTGAAGAGCAATGCTATGAAATGGTGTTTGGTAGTCTAGTCTGAAACATCCATCTGATGGAAGTAGCTTCATATAATTTATGTTGTACTTTTAATGCCATTCAAATTTGATTATGTTCTGAACTGTAATCTTACCAAGTTACCTAAGCAACTGTATAATCTACCCAACCCTGTAACACTTAGTGGTATTTTTGTAGGGATGAGAAGGATGAGCAAAGTCAGAAAGAAAAGCTAATATTGTCTGAAGACTGTGAACTCATTACAGTAATTGATGTGATACCTGGCAGGCTGGAGATCACTACCCAGCACATCTATTTCTTTGATGGTAGCATTGAAAAAGAGGAAGGTAAGCATGATCAATATCTGTTCCTTTTCAGTGCAGTTCAGCATTCTGTTTTTAGTAGGCTGAGTTTGATTTTTTTGAGAATGAGTGTCAAATTAATTGTAGAGAGACAAGTTGTTGATCTGTACTTAAAATTAATATTGTACTTGGTGGTCAGTGGCTGGCTGATCTCTTCAGAATCAAGAATCTGGAACTGTACTTGCTCAGCTGTTAAGTTGATTCACTGTTCTTAGTAGTTCTTTAAAAAATTAACTTATTTTAAAAAATGAATTAAGTTTGCTGACTAAAAAAAGTCATAAACTCTAATTTGCAGTTTAAATGGCACCTCCCTGTTCTCCCTGACAAACAATGTTTCATTCATACATTGATTAAAACGTAGTCGTAAGTAATTATTAAAATGTACTAGTATGTAAATATTAATCATCTATATTAATTTAGTGAACATTAATAGAATATACACAGTTGGGTATGAAAACAGTGAACTGAAATGTTTGGCCAATAATGGTAAAATTTTCAAAAACAGTATATCAAGAAGTTGGCATTCTGGGAATTCTAAACATAAAAGCTTCTATTTGAGCCTGTTTAAGAAAGCACAGGTGTTTGGTTTGTACTTTTTGTCAACAGAACACATTTATAATGTGTCTTTAATCAGAAAGCAAAAACAAATTCTACGCGCTGTCAGATATTTCCTGATGCCTCTTTCAGCAGAACAATAGCTGAAGCTAGTAATATTTTCCTGGCAAAATGGTTATTCAAGCCACATAAAATTTGCCTTTTCTAGGAATAACTCTGGAGTGATTGGAAATGATACTGCATTATGTCTATATGAAAAGTTCTTGATGTATTACAATTCAGTAATCAAAATGCTCTTCCTAGGGGTAGGTTTTGATTTCAAATGGCATCTTTCTCAAATTCGAGAGATACATTTGCGACGGTACAACCTGAGGAGGTCAGCTTTGGAGATCTTCCTTACAGATCAAACCAACTATTTCCTGAACTTCAACAGGGAGGTATGGGTTTCCCAAATTTCCTTGATGTGTATAATTAGCACAAGCATCAAGTTCAAATTCACTGATCGTGTCTAATTTGAGTCTGGTGTCTCTCATAGTAGCAAAAGGTTTGCTAGATATAGCCATTATGGGAAACTAGATTGCAGTCTGTGAAAACCTCAGTCTGGCATCTATAAACTGATTAATTGTGAAAAGATGGATGAAACAAGATTTTTTTTCCCCCCCCCCCCCCCCAAATGATTCAACTAAAGTTACATCAGTAGTAATCTAAATATCTTGAAGCCCACACATAGTTTTAAATATTCTGAGGAAATTAATTAGAAAGCAAAGGAGACTTTCTATTTTACCACAACATTGGAAATCATTAATACTTCTATATTCCATGGTTTAGGATTAGTGAACTTTTCCCCCCTTGGATAATGTAAGTGATCCTTTGTATGTGGGACTAAGACAAATATGAGAACTTAGGGTGAGTTACATATTAGTATGTTAGTTTATGAATAGCTCCTGTAAAATGTTTTGATTGTTGTTGTTTTTTTAAGTAAATAAATCTTTGCAATAGTTTTGT